CACCCCCTTTTTGAGGGTGAGGGGGGGTCTCCCCTCCCGCGACTGCTGAGATTTAGTAAACCAGTTGACTGATTTATGGGCATCTCACACACAACCAAGAGCGATCTGTCAAACGAGAGCAAGAACTTCAACCAGCTGCCACCAGCCCAACTTGGGATACTTTTTGAAGGGATGTTGTTGTCGCCGATTATAGGGCAAGGGGCGGAGATTTTTGATAGGCAGTGCGGTGTGTGTGTGTGTTTGGGGGGAAAGACTTATTTATTCTCATGCTGGGTCGTTTAGGAACCGATACAGAGCCCAGATCGCCTCTGCTCAAGTTTCATAGCTTTGAAGTTCACGGCTTACAGTACTTTGCCAAGAAGATCGGCGATCGAAGCGCCCTCTAGTGTTGAAAAGGGTGAAATTCAAGGCCGGCCTGCCATTGAAAGCGACGGAATAAGGACAATACGATACGATCATCTTTATTGTCATTGTCCCATACAGAACAACGAAATTGAAAAAAAATCTACACCAGGCATTCAAAAACCAACAAGCCTGCTATCCCAGCCTGGTCAACCCCCTAAAAACTCTGATACTCCATAATTAAATACAATATACTCCCATAGGGAACGGGTGGGACATCAGAGCCAGCTGGCGACTGCGACATTTCCCTGTCACTCACAAAGTTTGCCAGAAACATATTTCGGAGGCCACGGAACACAGTTATCTTCCCATCCCTTCCCCTCTTTCAACGGGCTCGTATATCAATCCATATTCAGAGGCAGGATCTTCAGATCCAGCGAGAGAGAGACGGGGGTGGGGGATAAAGAATCACTAATCTTCCACAAGCACGATCTTCCATCGTAGAATCATAGATCAGAAAGTGTTCCTGAGGGTCATCTAGTCTGACCCCATGCTCACGGCTGGATCGGTAATACTGGATGCAGCTGCTGCGTTCCTGTCAGACATCTCCAGCATAGGAGAGCCCACCATCTCCCCAGGCAGTCTGTTCCACAGCTGAGCATCTCTTACGGGTAAGGAAGTCCTTTCCTAAAGTTTAGCCCAACACTGTTTCTCTCCAGTGACTACCCCTTCCTTTCAGTCAGGCTCCCTGGAGCAACAGGGAACACGTTTACAGCGCACAGGGCTCCCACACACAAAGAATCCTGGGAACTGTTTGAGCTACAGTTCCCAGTACCCTTTAAACTACAGTTCCCAGGATTCTTGCTTTAAATATACTACAGTCGGATCTGCCCCATCTTTTTTAGGTCCGCTATCATGTCCAGGCGAAACACGCCCAACTCTTTTTTCAACCGCTGCTCAAAGGATCCATTGCACGATGGTAAACCTAACTATAATCAACAGGTGATCACCACAGTCATTTCTTGTCAGTAAGCTTGTCAGCACCCTATTTTGCTGAAAACTAAAAATAAGTCACAACGATCAAGGACAGGAAACAAAGCTTCCAGTGTACAGGCAGATCATACTGAAGGGCTTATGTTCGCTATATCATTTACTCGAAGTCCTAACGTGGCACCTGAATCTTTAGAAAATGTTATCCGTTATGTTATGGCCCGAAAACAATTTCCAACTGAAAGACGTGCTTACTTGCGAGCAAGCCCCTTGAATTTGGGACGACTGTCAAGTAAACATGCCTGAGGATCGGCCTGTCCCATTTAGCTCCGACACGCGAAGCCATATGAAACTCAAACGCCAGCTTTCTTTGCCCACGGACAGAGGGCCTCCGCTAGCCAGCTCAAAAGACCTACCCCAGGCGAACTCCCTTAAAAAATTATAATAAAATAAAGAAATTGCTAACTTCTTAAGAGAAGATTAGCTTTGCTCCCGGTTCACACGACTCGAGATGCAAAGCGAGCCTAAATTTATCTGTTTCTGCCATGCAGATATAGATCTCGACACATGGCCGTGCATTATTGACAATCGATCTTCCGCGCTCCTGGAATCAGCCACATTAGCTTTGCAGCAGCAACGCAGATCGGAGGATCGAATTTTACCCTCATAAAAAAATAAAACAACAATGAAATACGAGCATATGAAACCGCGAGGAAGCAAAATCCATCATGCTGGCCATAAAACTCCCAACTCGGCTGGATACAACCCGCTGTGTAATTTGGCCCAGGGAAGACTAGTAACCGCCAATGGTACCTCGGAAAAGGAAGCGATAGATCTTGCTTTTAATAACTTCCCAACGTGTTGCAAATAATGAAACGCGCGCATAAATCATCGCGGGGGAGACGGGCTGCAAGTTCGCCAATGGGCTTCGACTTCCGCACACACACAACCCCAAACTCCGCCTCTCTCCCGAGTTCCCCTGCCTGCCCGGTGATTGGCCGCCTGGACCTCGGTGACGTAGGTAGAAAGAAATCATTGACGGCTCCGAACTTGGAGGCATTTTCCGCTGAGTCAGTCGGAGCAGGCCTTACCTCCGGCGGCGCATGCGCAGTGGCGTGTATATGTGTGTAAGGCCCGGAGAGGACTGTGCAGGCAGCATGAGGGATGGATCCAAGCGGGAGACCCGTCTGCACTGTTACAACCTGTCAGGAGCAGAGAGCTGTCACGTCACACTCCATCCCTGGCCTGGTGCCCCAGTCCACCTTCACTCCTGGGTCTCAAACGCAGTGCAGTATAGGCCGCTGAACATCACACAGCCGCATAACTCGCACACAGACCCGGCGATCTGGAAACCAGGACGCCGTAAGCTCCCCTAAAGTGAGCTCAGGAGATCGCCAGCTCAGTATAAAAAGAGTTGCTTGTCTTGCCCAGTTAGCTGAAAATATGTCGTCCGTGTTTAATTATCCCGCTTCCCACCAGTTTAAGATGCTTGGGGGCAAATGGTGCTCTTACAATTCCAGATCGCCGAGGAAGAAATGATGGTCAAGACAAGAGGATCAATTAGGAAGTGATGGGGAGAATGGTGCGGGGATTTCAAGGCAGCTATTACTCCCCGTCTCCTTTGACATAGCTGCAAGTATTTAAACACGACAGCTGCTTTCAGGGCAATTATTTATTCAAGTGGCTAAGTTTTCGAGATCCTTTTTATGCAAATGACAGGTAAAACGCTGAGACTGCCTGGTAGAAAACTTAACAGATTGTTAAGTGAGTAAAGCCGCAATCCTAACCATATCTGCTCAAAACTCGCACTGAATTCAAGGGGGTTTATTCTCCATTGTTGGGTTAGGATTGCAGCCCAAAGGATACAGTCCCAGTACGGATATGTGAAATAGCTTATCCTGTACATAAATGTGTATTTTTTTTTAAGGTGTAATTGTTTTATTTTTCTAAAATTTGGAAAGGCTCTTCTGCAACTGTGTTTTATTTCAACACAGCTGGTTATTTCCTATTTATCAGTATAAGGCTTTTTATCACACAGTCATGGGTTGCTTTCACTGCAAAAATGCTTGCAAATGTTCATTTCCTTCCTCCTAAAACTCTTTCTGCAAGCACTTCGTCTACTATTTTGCTTCTCTCCGTCCTTTGCTCCCTGTTCCAGATGCAGCCACGGACTGCCGCCCGGAGCACAACCGAAGGTCCATTATGCAAATGAGAAGTGATTGACGACCGTGACGTTAACCAATCGTAGGCCTCTTGCTCAACCATTGGTGGGCACAGATACGGACGCAAGCGATGACGCAAGGTACACATACTAACCAATCACAGCCGGCTATTCAAATATCCGGGGGAATATTTCCTCCTCCCTCCTTTAAGCATCTGCTCTCGGGCGCCGCATAGTGGTTAGAGGACAAAAGCGCACCCGTTTCCTATAGCTGTAAATCTGTATTTTTTAATCGGAGTCATTTAGAATGTTCACCACTTGCCAGGCAAGACAACTGCGGCTGTAATAATAAGGTCACTCGGAGAATATAAATGTGTTCTTGGACGAGAATAAACTTACGGATCCCTACAGGGAGCGGTTTAAAGACCCCTGTCTTTTAAAATTCTCCGCTTAACAGCAAGCGCTTATTCAGGGAGGCGATAGGCTCCGGGATCTTTAAACATAGGGCTGTTTCGTTCCGGAAACCTTATAAAGTTCACGCAATAGGCAGTACTGATCTCCTAGTGATAATGGTCGTATACACACCGCCAGAGTAGTATTTATTGTCAAAGACCAGTGGCAGTGCAAACAGAAAGGTCATATATGCTGCTTTTTATGGTGGCTGTGTGCGTTTAATTAACTACATGTCGTCACTCAGACGTAAGCCCGATTGATTTCAGTGGATCTTGCTCCCCAGGAAAGTGAGAACAGGATTGCTTCTTGTTTCTGAGCTTTGCAAAGCACCTCGGTTTTCCACCACCAGATGGCAGAACATTTCAAAGAGCCGATCTTAACGCCGCTTAGAATGTTTGCGCAGTTTCAGACTTACAGTTCTGTGTCCAGCGCTATTCATACCGAATCCGATTAACGCTGAAGCCCTAAAAGTACTTAACTAGAAGCAATTTCGGATGACATCGATGCGGAATTACTTCTTTCTACAAGCAAACATCGTTAAGGCCGGGCTGTTAGTCCCGCAGATTTATCGAACAAGGCTACATTGTCTTAAATGAGGCGCTTTAGTGTAAGTGGGTCAGGTTCCCGGTTGTAAATTGCCCTTTTTTGCAAGACGTTTTGACAGAACCTGGCTTACTGGTAATCCACTTGCGTATTTCTTTCGTGCGCTGCCCCACGTGGGTCTCGGTAAATGATACAGAGTTCTGCGGGTGAGGTGCGGTTGCCTTCTGCTATATAGTGAGAAGAGGCAAGCTTCAGAGGTCCACAGAAGAGCAGGTTCTTCAGTAGAACATCTACCAACATCTACCAAGTTGGTCCTCTACGGATCTGGGCCTAGATTAGTGTTTCCCTGCCCTATTATGGAAGAAAGACACAACGAACTCAGTGAGAGCGATCCACTTTATTTAACTTGATTTTTCCCGATGAAGCGTGCCATGAAACGCTGAATTTCGCAGAGTCTTGCAAAATCCCTACTGTATACCTCCTACAACATGAAGGTTAACGAGCGGCTTTAGCCGTGGTTGCTCAGTCAGTAGGTCATGCGACTCCTAATCTCGGGGTCGAGGGTTCGAGTCCCATGTTGGGCAAAAGATTCCCTCATTGCAGGGGGTTGGATAAGGGGGTGACTTGTGGTTCCTCCCTACTCTACAGTTTTATGAGTCTAATATCATTCTTCATGTAGTACAGTGGGACGTCAGTCATCTCATTGAAATGGGCCTTGTATGGTATTGTCCACACAGGGCTCTCCGGGATTTCGGACAAGGATCTCACCCAGCCCTACCCGAGGACTGGATCTGAGACCTTCTGCCAGCAAGGCAGAGGCTCTCTTAGTGAGCTACGGCCCTTCTTTGCTGGGAGAAGCGAGTTGCTGGAGACTCCTTTTCTTCACAATTCATTCGGGATAAGTCAGATCGCGCCTGCAATGATCATATCTGTAGAGAGAGAAAATGCTTTCCTTCACCACCGAGTAATTGCTACCGCACAGCTCCAAACATCTGCTGTTTGAACCCGTGGCACCTTTAAAAACACACACACACCATAATCCTCAGCGCTGTTTCCTCTCCAGTGGCCTGACATCCGGAGTGATCTCGTGTGTGTGAACGTGTCTGTGAAGAAGACGGAGAGAGCGAGCTGGCTGTATGCGCGCGCGCGCTTCCCCGGCTTGGAGATGACAGTGATCGAGATCGCCTCCTGCGCCTCCTCCTTCACGCATTTCACATCCTAAGCTGCGGATCACAAGACGTTCGGAGGGCAGGCATCCTGGAGCATCGTGCTTCCCTCCAGCATAGCAAAACCTGGACAAGACTACTACCTCTAGAAATGAGTCCCATAAGGGGGCTTACTCTCGAGTAAGCGTGCCCAATATTTTAGCCTGGCTTGGCAGCGCTTGGCTCTGAGGAAATCCTGGCCGAGGTTTCCCAGGGTCGAGAACATAAGGAACGTAGAAACATAAGGCGAGCTCTGCTTGATCAGGCCAAATGGCCCATCTTAGCGCGGCATCCTGTTCTCAAGGGGGCCAGTGTAAGAAACCAGCAAATGGCACGCAGAAGCATTGCTGCCCTTTGCTTTGCTACCTTCTCCTCCTCTTTGAAAGCCATCGAAGTTGGCTCATGTCATGGGCATAGCCAGGGGGCGGGGAGGGAGGCAGCTGCGCCCCACAATAAAAGCCAATAAAAATATTTAACTAACTGAGGCTATGCCCCTCAACATAAAGCTTGCCCCTCCATAAATCCTGCTTACGCCCATGGCTCATGGATAAAACCTCTCCAGCCCAAACCAGCCCATCATCCTAGACTTGCTTTACTTGGAAGGCGAAGTGCCTGTGATCTCAAATGGACGATACTTACACTAATAATAATAATAATAATAATAATAATAATAACAATCAGCCTAATGTGATCTGGTCTTTGACCGTAATAAATTATCTGTCACCTCTCTCTCTGTCTCTCTGTCTCTCTGTCTATCTATCTATCTATCTATCTATCTATCTATCTCTAATAATAAGCCTGATTGGAACTGTATCCTGGCTTATAAGGGGGTGCATTTTACTTTTTTCATTTATGCGCGCGCGCGCACACACACATATATAGCCGACATGGAAACGTTTCCCCCTCCTCAATCTGTCTCTGCAGCCTCAGATGCTCCTCCCGGAGCCGGCCTTTGTTCCCAGGCTGCTTTCTCACAGGGTCCGCGCCCCCGCTTCAAGCCCGCCCCTCCTCTTGTGGACGTTTGTTTAGCCAAGCACTGGAGGTTTTTCAGCAAATCCTTCCCCCTCTTTAAACAACTCCGAGTGGCCGAGAGGAACGCACGCGATGCGCCTCTCTGCGCGCAGATAAGTAACACACCCGGCCCCCTGCGCCGGTCGCCTGGCCCTCGGGGTGCGTCTCTAGCTCTCTCTCTCCCTAATTAGGAAAGGAGCCGCGTTCGGGCCGGGGCAATAATTCCTGGGCGCCTTGAAGCGTTTTGGCAAAAATGAAGGCGGAGGGCAAGGGGAGGAGGAAGTCAGTCTGGCCCGTCCTTTGTAAAGGGAACATTCGTATTCCGGGGCTGAGCTTGGGAACAAGTTAAATCAACATATGGGGTTGGGGGGGGGGGGAGAAATAGACGTTCGTTTATCATCCGATCTGCCACCCTTCAAAGCGCCGCAATAAAGCCATCTATGAAAAACACATGTCCCGTCTCTTAAGCGAGGGGAAGGGAGGCGGAAGAAGGCCTCTCCCTTCGCTCCTCTCCCAACTCCATCCTTAGCTAGGGGGACCCGTGTTTACTCCACAGAGAAAGCCCGGTTTTGTTCCATGGACCTGGCGATCCTGTGCCTACAAAAACAAAGCACCCCACAGTCCTGCTGATTTTAATCAATATTTTTTTTTAATGTCATTTTGATTGTATCGTTGTTGTTTTTTTAAAAAAATAATATATTAGTTGTAAGCTGCTTAGAGGCTTTTGGAGATGAGTAACTATACAACCTTTAGAAGACATCAGAAGGCAGCCCTGTAAAGGGAAGCTTTTTAAGGTTTAATGTTGTATTATGGTTTTATATATCTCAGAAGCAGCCCAGAGTGGCTGGGACAAGCCTGTCAGAAGAGCGGGGTACAAACAACAGCAACAATTTATTATTAAAGTGGTATAGAAATCTTGTTAAATAAAATAAAATAATAGAATAGAATCATAAACCACACATCCTTTTCCTTTTGGTCTGTTTTATTATTGACTCCAGGGGAGATCCGCACCATATATTTACAACTCATTCAACACATATTTAAAGCACATGAGTAATTTCCCCCTCACAGAGCTACAATTCTCAGAATCCTTAAACTGCAGTTCCCAGGATTTTGATATATATATATATATATATATTTGGGGGGGTCATGTGCTGTGGATCTGTCCCCAGGAAACCCCAAAGCTGCAGCCTATATTTCCTCACTGGCAATTGTGACAACTGATTGCTTTTAGGAACGTCTTTACTTTGTTCTGCAACCTGTTGTTCTTAAAATTCAATAAACTGGCGGGCGGGGGGGATGAATTAACATTTCTGTTATATTAGTTGTGCGTGACACACATTGAGCTGCTCTTCCTTTAAAAGAAAAACCGTAAGCAGACGTTCCAAGAAAAATCCCCCCTCCATAATAATAATAAGAGAAACAATGATACAGAAATTGTTTTCATTGGACGCTGAAAAGCAAAACTTCCAGAGAGCCGGGGTTATAAACCATCAGCAAAGCCTCGCAGCTGTTGGGCGGCAGGATCCAAACCGGCCACCTTCCCCTCTCCTCCCTTTCTTGTCTGTTTTGCTCCAGCTTTCTCTCTGTTTGGAGTTTCTGTCTAAATAAAGACGGTTCCCTGGAGACGAAGTGGGGATGGAATTCGTTCCCGCGAGGAAAGGCTGCGTCAGAGAGTCTGGTCAGGAGAAGGCTTGAGGAAGGAATGATGGTGAAGTCTGGGTGGGGGGAGTCCGAGGAGCTTGAGCGGGAAAAAAGCACAGCAAACTGGCTGCATTTCTAACCATTTCACGCTCGCCGCTTAAGCCATCCAGGGAGGCAAAAATGGATCTGTTGTCAGTCCCCCAGGGCCAACCACAGGAGGGGTTGTGCTGGTCAAAGAGATGATTTATCTATTTGTTTTACCTTTATACATCCAAGAGCTCAGAGTAAGGGGCGGTGTACACGTTTCTTCCCTTCTCATTTGATCTTCACAACAACCCTGTGAGGTAGGTTAGGCTGGGAGACAGTGACTGGTCCAAGGTCACCCTGGCGGGTATCGAACCCTGGTTTCCCAGGTCCTAATCCAACACTCTAGCCGTTACTCCACACCCAGCCTCATTCAGCTTTGTGGAGCCTAGACTTGCAGCATTCTAGAGGATGCCTGGGTAAAGCTAAGAAGAAGGATTCATAAGCAGATTCTTCTACCTGGAATTTGCTGTGCAAACCCATCCAATTCATAGTCTTCCAATTCAACCCCGACCACTGCATTCCCAGTTATGGATGCTGTTGTGTTTAATGGTTTTTAAGGAAGGGGAATGCAAAAGTACTGGCAAGGGATCCTAACTCAGTTGCTAGAACTTCTTGGTTAGCATGCAGGAGGTTCCAGGTTCGATCCTGGCATCGATGTCTTTAGATGTCCCCTTATCTGAAGTCCTGGACAGCTGCTGCCAATCCGTGTTGTCAATACTGAGATCGATGAGCTATTGGTCTGACTCAGTAGAAGGCAGCTGCTTATGTTTCTATGTGTCAAGTTGGGGTGGGGAGAATGAGGTTTTAATTTTTAATTTTTTCAAAGTTTTAATTTAAAAAGGTTACATTCCAAAATTGCTGGAGGTGAATAACTGGAAGACAATAATTCAAATTAAATACAGTGGTACCTCAGGTTACATACGCTTCAGGTTACACACTCCGCTAACCCAGAAATAGTGCTTCCGGTTAAGAACTCTCCTTCAGGATGAGAACAGAAATCGTGCTCTGGCGGTGTGGCGGCAGCAGGAGGCCCCATTAGCTAAAGTGGTGCTTCAGGTTAAGAACGGACCTCCGGAACGAATTAAGCACTTAACCTGAGGTACCACTGTAGATGCATATGTACGCCATATCAAACTGAAACAATACAAAATAGAAAGCGAACAAGAATCATGTGATGACAAACTTATTTGTTTCATTTGCAGAGAAGTCTGCCCTCCAGTTATTGCTTGCATATTTACTTTTTTTTAAAAAGGTCTGAGTGCTTCCACACAGTACCAATAAGTAATTATAAATAAGGAGCAGTGGATGCCTTCAATGGTCCATATCTACCTTGTCCCTTCTTTAAATTTAAGTCCACTTGGGGAGCAATCTAGCCCAAATTAATCAACTTCAGATCCCACTGGTTTCCATAGGAAAGTTAAACACATGCTTACATTTCTGGCTGAAATAAATGGGAGGCTGAAGTGCTTTGTTTTGGCTTCATTGCACCCGTTACCCTTTGCTGTTATTGTGATCTCCGTTTCCCTGATTGATCTAAGTGAACTCAGAGACTGTCCAGAGTTAGATCATGTTGGGCTTGTTTATATTCCTTTTCTAAAGCGCTTCTGAATATTTATGTGTCCTTGTTAATAACAGTT